CAGAAGGTAAATGTGTTTTTGAGAAAGCAAAATGTGTGTACGGCGATGGAAACTTCAAAATAGTGCCGCAACCATTTAGACAATTATACACGTTTCATGCATAGTTGGGTGGTAGTGTCAATACATGTAACGTATTTCCAATGGTTTATACATTGTTACTCGACAAGTGTCAAGAAACTTACACAAGATTATTATATCTAATAAAAAACATTTCCCAAATTTTAATCCTCATAGTTTTAAAATAGACTATGAAATGGCTATGGCCAATGCCATACAAACAGTATTTCAAAGTGCTAAAATAACGGGTTGTTACTTCCATTACACAGACGCAATAAAAAAAAGCGAAGCAGTTAGACATGAAGTCACTCGCACATAAAAAAATTATACAGTTGTGTTATCAGTTGCCGCATCTACCGGAAACTTATATTCCGGAAGGGTTCATGACTATATTGCATCAAGCACCAGAAGGTAAAGCTACTGATAATTTTGTTAAGTACTTTACAAAGCAGTGGTTATCGTCGAATAAACCTACAATATGCTGTTACAATTGCCGAAGGATGGCATAGTCGCATAAATAAAAGGATTAAGCGTAAACCAGGACTATTACATTTTATAAAAATTCTAGATTTGACGACCTCCGTGGCCGAGTGGTTTGTACGCCGGGTTTCATGGTGTCGCCGACTCGAGAGGGGTTCGAATCCCGGTGGGGGCAGATGTTTGTGTGATGAATACGAGCATTTGTACTCCAGTCATGGATGTTTAATATATTATTCTATATAAATATACTTATATATGTACATGTATATGTATGTATATGTATGCTATCCGTTACCCTAGTATCCAATAACACAAGCCTTATAGTGCTTACTTTGGGGCTAGGCTAATTGGTGTGTTAAAAAAAAAAGCCAAAATTCAAAACATCATGGTATTTAAAAAAAATACATCAGCTTCAAAGCAATGCCAGACGCCGGAAACATTTATTAAAAGAAACTAGAATTGGATATATAGTAAAAAAATTGTTAATGAAAAGGTTTCAATGCGGTTGGGATTAAATATGTTAAGACGTTTAAATTTAGGTTAGGAGGACTATTTAGTTCCTATTTTTTAAATTTTCATTTATAAGATAAAAAGAATTCCGTATGTTTTGTTTAAGCAGATGTCTTATTTTGTTTTGGTTTTAATAAACACGTTATGCAATTATTGTTTTACTTTTATTTATGGAATCGTCGATTTACAAAGCTTTGAGTAATGTGCAGCTTTGACGAGTATGCAGAAATAAGAACTTGACCAATGTGCAGCTATGACGAGTATGCAGAAACATGAACTTGACGAGTAGACAGTAAAAATAAGAATTTTGCATCGCTTGACGAAAATTGCAGTTTTGACGAGTGTGTCGTACATCGATTCTACAACCTTCATAACCTTTCGAAGTTATGCAATTTTCTGTACAAAGTTATAGTGAATACCTACCCAGACAGGAGTTGTAATGCGTATGGAAAATGCACTGTGTGGCTGCCTGCACACTGTCTCGGACTCTATCCTAAACAGGATCACAGGATTTCAGGTGCCTACTATCTTAAAATGTTGGTAACAAAATTGTTTTTTTCGTCCTAATACATATTTCAAAGTTTATTAATAATTTGTCGTGCATTTTTTAATGACCTGTGTGCTATTAAAAAAATAATATTGGTCATATTCATTTATTTTTTCATTTGTTGCTTCTTCATGTTTTATGTAAATGAGGTATCGGCGTTTTAAATATTTTTACTATCATTTTCATTTATGAAGTGAATCCCCACAATTTCGTAGCGTAGCAGTGCTTCGTAGCCGAATCTCTACGTAACCGGCCATTGCAGAGTCCCGTATGTACCAGATTCCAATTCTGAGAAACACATACTTTTCAACCACTCCATTGATTTAGCTTCAGACCACACAGTCACTAACAAAAGAACATAAAATAGGACTTATCCGACTAATCCAAATATTTATGTTGTCATATACAATTAGTCTTACCGTGATTTTTTAAGCTCAATACGTGGGGATTAAAAAAAAAGAAACGACAGGCGGCGGCATCGGCTGCGTCATAATTAACAGTACATCAATCAAAGTTAGCAGTTCATTATATAGTCATTAACAATGACGATTAATCTTTGTTCAATTTTACGTCGTGATTCGGCGACGTGAGTTCGCTACAGCGACCGGTGGTGGCATATAAAAATCTAGCAAACGCTCAAGTTTAGATTACACAAAAAATATTATAGTCTTCATATTTACATGAACTATGATTAATTTACAATCAATATCTATGAACGTAATAAAATGGAAAATTACCATAGTAAACGCAACTGATCAGATTTTCCTTTGTTACAATAAATATGATTTTAGAATGGTTTATTAGGTATTCAAGATCCAACTGCAATACAGTAGACTCTTTGAACCTTACATTAATACAGGGTGTAAAAAATACTATGACGAAGGCTCAAACTACGTATTCTGTACACCCAAACAAGTAATATTACAAAATATTATATGTGTGAAAAACAAATTTTTTAAGTTAAAAAAATAAATAAAATAATCCGGTACGCAATGTATAGCGCGGCACGCTACTGTGGCGCTACGGAAAGAATGTGCCTGTGTGTATGTGTGCGTGCGTGTAACTGCTTCGATCAAAAAAAAATGGTTGCCTGTAAAGTCGGTTTTACGGGCGAAGATTTTACGTGACAACGTCTTTTTCTCGGTAGAATATTTATTGATATGAATATAATTAAATTGCACAATAGGAACAAGGAATTGAATGAAAATAAGAATTGCACAAATTTTAACTATAGAAATATATTTTGTTTACTAAAACATTGTACATGTAAACTTAAACTCATCGTAACGTTACCGAGCGTTACACTTTTTCATAAGTGACTCCCAGCCGCAACCTAATTTAAGACGTTGTCACGTCAAAAGTTTCTAAATAACGTTTTGAAAATATTAATGTAAAATTCTTAAAAAAAAATTGTGACAGTCCAGAAATTTCCCAGGTTTGGTCCAGAAGAAAAAAATGATCGTCATGATGTGGAAAATACCCTGTAAATATTATCTTATAAGCATGAGTATCCTGCACAACATAACACAATAGTACAATTAAGTAGGCATGTACATATTTCTCAAGATACATTTATACAATGTTGGAGTAAATATCATTGCTTACTATATATAGCTCAACAGCGCATGTTTGCGTTCGCGTTTGCCACAGTTCCGCCAGTGTCACTGAAGTGGGTTTGTCACAAAATGTATTTTATTATTATTCTTTGAAAACCTGTCTGGTAATGTGGCACAAAATGTAACACAGACAGATTAACACAAAATAAGGTACAAGGGTCAGCGTTACATAGTTGCTTGATTCCGCAGCTTCGTTCTTTCTCATAAGCTTTGTATTTGTAATTATTATTTTTGGAATCTGTTTGTAAATAATTATATTCTTCAGATAAATAATTTAGAATAGGAGGTAACATGCTTATTTTTTTCCTTTTATAAGTAATCTCACCTTTTTTTACTTATTGAATGTTCTGTAATTGTTTTGCATATCTGTATTTATGTAAGCCAATAAATGTCTTTCTTTCTTTCTTCTTTCTTTTTAAAATACTTGTAAAAAATGTAATAACATGATATAAACAAACGAAGAAATTTATTACAAAGTTCATTTGTGATTGGGTTGAGCTGTGTTTTTATGAATTCCCTGTTTAGGTTAACAGGAATTGGAATATTGTCAAACCATAAAAATCTTGTTTTGCAGGAAAATAAGATATTTATCTTGCCAAAACTCTTGTTTTCCTGCAAATACATTGCACAGTTTTTGCAAGATAACTTGAATTCTGCTTTTTATTCCATTGTTTTAATTCATAAAAACCTTTTTGAAAACTCTTCTCAGACGACCTTCGGAAGCCCTCTAAACTAATAAGACAAATCCGAGGAAATATGGACTCTGCCACGACGGTTGTCGAGTAAGAAAATAAATATTTGTGATGATATTAAGCACTGCCCTTTAGGTGCCTAGTAATTATTATAGTACGAATAGTGCGATTCAAACTGCATGATAGTAACAGCAAGTGCAACTATGTGCCGGCGCGAGGTATTTGACATACCTCGCGCCTACACTAACATTTTATTTATTGTTTTAAACTTTCATGGTCACTAACATTATAGCTATTAACAGCATTGTTACCATGTACTTTGTTTTTCTAAGAGTCTCCCATATTTCGGCACTGTTGCAAGCGCCATGATCACGGAGTAACTGAAGTAATTGCGGGTAGATGTTATTGGCAGACATATCGGTCTACCCTATTACGTCGTCTTTTACTGCGCTCGATACCAGCCTTCTCTCATGATGATTTGTGGATTATGGAGTTCAATCCAGTGAGAGTGAGGGTGAGAATTCGCAAAAATCAGCTATCGCGGAAAATTTAATCAATTCGGGTCCTAATAACTGGATTGAGCTCCATAATCCACAAATCTTCAAGACAGAATGCCACTACATACCAAGATTGGTCAGGGAAGCGATTGAAATAACCAAACACAAGAATTTCAATCTTGAGGAAGGGTTTAAATTGTCAAGTGTCTGGAATCCAGTGGTTCGTATGTGCAAAAACCGCAAAAATCATAAAAAGTGTCGTTCCGCGATCTGATACGTGAGTATTGCGTGTCGGGAACAGGTGCGAGTGAATAGTGAGATTGTGACCAATGGTATCGAGCGCAGTAGAAGACGACGTCAGAGGATAGACCGATATGTCTGCCAATAACATCTACCCGCAATTATTTCAGTTACTCCGTGATCATGGCGCTTGCAACAGTGCCGAAATGTAGGAGACTCATAAAAATCAAGGTACATGGTAACAATCCCATTAATAGCTATAATTTTGTTTACTGTGTTTACTTGCGCTAACTTCACAGCCGCCATTAAGTTTGAATTTCACTTAACAAGTCGTGTTTTATTATGAGTTCGTTTGCTGCAGGTGCTACCAACGCTCCCCGGCCCTACGACAAGGTGCCACCAGCGATACAGTACGCCTTGGAAGACATGATCCAGCCAGTGCCAGAAGTAGAAGCGGACTGTAAGTTGGCGGTGATTTTTTAACATTACATAATAGCGACATCACTGTAAATTAGTTTATTTAGTGAAAAAATATAACAGCAAAGGGATGCGATCAAATTTACTTACATTAGCCAAATAAAACTACCAAACTTTCGTATGCAAACGCAAAGGATAAAAGTTTTTAAACAAAACTTTAATTAAGGGTCCGACAGGCATAGGCAATTGGTTTCTCTGTACCTATAGACAATGCACACGGCCCGTGTATTGTTTCGCTTGTGAGTGACTGCTAACTTGGCATGTTCCCTTTTATGTGAAATCATAATATCTAACTTGGCAGTTTGTAGGCAAATTGGAATGTAAATATGGATACATAAATTCAGTTCAGCGGCAGCTTCTAAAGTCACCAAATAGGCGGTAATAGTCTATCAAGGGAATGGACAGAAATCGGAAATTAAGGAAGGTCTGCGGAGCTATTGTCACTGTTGATTCTAAACAACGACCAATGCTAATTATATGGCTTTGTGTGTTAATAAATGCTACAGGTACACGATATCGAAGCCAAAAGTATTGATACCTCCTTAGTACAGCCTACCTAGCATGACCACCGCGATGATACATAGCGAGTTTTTATCAAGCTCAATTGTCAAATTTCTATGCAGTTGGACAGTTAGACGCGTTAAAAACGTGATATAATGTAAATCGTTATCATTTCCCAGGCAGGGGACGCCACCCCTTCTCAGATATTAAATGTTTTTTTATTAAAAATAAGTATGGGAATGGATGCATTGACTAATTCTAAGCAACTTTTGTCTTTTAGAGTTTTTACTGAAAGTCAATACTTTTCGACTTATATGAGAGTGAACGCGTAAATTTTTAAACAAGACAAACCACGTTTTCAAACGATTGTTCATGAATAATTCTGAAAATAAGTATTTTATGAAAAAAAAACATTTGCAGTAAAATTGTAGCTTATAAAATGACAAACAAAATATTGGGTTAAAAATATCACTACATCCAATAATAACGGAGAAATAGCTTGATAAAGGTTGGTTTTTCATCGTCAAACGCCAAAATCGAAAGTTTCAAAGTAAAATATACAAAAAACAATGCATTTTCGGAAATATCTCGTAGAACTTTTCACACACGTGTATGTGGGTCTCTTAATGTGTGAACAGATGAAGGAATCTTATTTATCAGTATTGAAATACGTTTTTATTAGTAACTTTAGAAAATGTGATTATGTATTTTTACCGTAAGGCTTCGTGTAGACGACGCCGGATCCGCATCGGCGCAGGAACCGCATGTTTGTGTATACGAATGATTAACGCGCATGAGCCGCGCCGTCCCCGCGCCGTCCCCGCGCCGTCCCCGCGCCGTTGCCGCACCGGCGCCGGGTTGAAACCGCGTGCACGTGCATTGATGCCCAGTTTAAATAGTAAAGCAACGATCACAGTTAAGCATTGCCAACGAAACTGTAAAGACGTCTGCTGTTTATTTTATATATTGAAATACCGTATAATGTTAACTTTGACCAAAAAAAATAAAGTGTTACTTATGTTTTTAATTTATAAATGGAGACAGAAACAAATTCATAGACGTAAGAGACAAATTTGGGTACATCCTGTCTTAGCCGGCAGAGAAGACAAAGGAGAATTCTACATGTTATTTGAAGAAATAAGAAATTATGAAGAACAATTTTCAGAATATCTTAGAATGAGTGTAGAAACGTTTGATACATTGCTAAACATTTTGCAAAGCAAACTACAATATCAAGATACAATTATGCGGCGCAGTATTTCTGCAGCGGAAAGACTGGTCGTCACCTTAAGGTAAGTAAATAAATCATATTTGATCAGCAATCGTTTAATAAGGTACAAAAATAACTCAACTACTTATAGTTATTATAAATAACTGTCAACTTATAATTATTTAGCAATTGTAATCAACGTGAAAATAACATACAAATCTAGTTTAATTCTGCAAAATCCAAATGCAAACTCCAGATCCATCCGGGCTCAACACATTCAATGAGCTGGTACCACTATAATTCGAAGTTTGGGTGTCTGGACGCCTATTAAAGGATATACCCGTTGTTGCGGTAGTGCGATATCCGTAAGCAGTAGAGGGTGGAACTTCCGTGTTGAAGTCATAGGAACTTGTTTGTCCTGCATGATGGAAGGTGGGCGCATTGATATTTGAAGTGCTATATTGATAATCATAATTCGAATTTGTATTTCTGTTTCTATTTTGAACATTTCGTAATATCGACATCACTTGAAACTGGAAATCCACTATATCAGCATCACAAAATCTATCGACGGTGGGAGCAATGCTTTTAAAAAAAGCCATTGACCGACTTTCATCTTCGTTTTCCATTTTATCCATAAAACTCAGCATCCTTGCGTCCATTGCATTTGTGGTTGTGGCAGTGCGTGGTCTTTTGGGGGCTATAGGTTCTTAGTCTTAGTCTTAGTAGTACGGCGGGCTGTTTCCGCAACTCGACACCTAGTGCCTATTTTGCGTGGGGATTGGCATCAGTCCTGCCATCCCAGCTCCTCCAGAAAGCTCAGCAGTCCCCGAATGTTGCTGCAGGCCTCTACTATTGTCTTCGGGCTTCCCATTAGAGAAGTGTCCTTTGTCTTGCAACGCCCCTGCACTCCAGTAGGACATGGGCGCTCGTCTCATCCGCCTCCAGGCAGGCTCTGCACAGAGGGCTGTCAGAAATACCTATATTACAAAGGTGTTTGTTAAAGTAGCCGTGACCCGTGAGTATACCCACGATTTGTTTCAGGGCTTGTCTAGGTAGTCTGATTAACTTACGTGTTAGCTGCAGGTTTACCTTAGGAACGGCTTCCCTGGCTTGCCTGCAGTCCGTGAGTTTTGACCAGTAATCGTCGTGTTGTCGTTGAGAGCGCTCCCTTATCCAGGTTCGCAGCTGCCGATAGGGTATGGGTATAATTGGCTCCGGACCAATGGCCGTCCTGCTAGACCCCTCCCTGGCTAAGCAGTCCGCCGCATCGTTACCCCTTGAGCCGCTGTGTCCTTTAATCCACTGTAGGGTCAATCTATTGTCGTTAGCAATATTAGTCAACTTACTGTGGCATTCGTAAATTAAGCCTGATGTCATTATATTGTTGTCCAGTGCCTGTAGGACAGAAGCGCTATCAGAGAGAATACGAATATGTTCTCCTCTTACCCCGCGACATTCTATCGCCTCAGCAGCTCTGATGATGCCCACACACTCTGCCTGGAAGACCGTGTTATAGGCACCCAAAGCTGTCGAGATGTGTATATTCAGGTCTTCGGAGAAGACACCCGAGCCCGTACCACAGTTGGTTTTTGAACCGTCTGTGTAGACCCTCAACTTCTTATGCAGTAAACGGTCCGGGGTGTCTTTATAAAGTTGAATTTTGTATTTTTTGTCAAATACGTACGTCTTAGGAATAAGGTCGTTTACTGCTGCAAAGTACGGAAAGTGCCTGTGTATGTCTGCTAAGATGCTGGTGTGCGGGGAGTTGTTGTCTCTCCAATGCCCCAGCATGCTTAGGCGCGTGGCTGTACATGCAGCTTCCTGTTGTATAAACAAGTGGAGTGGTCTCACGTTAAGTATTGTCTCCAGTGCTGATGTGGGAGTGGTTTTCATGCAGCCGGTGATTGCACAGCATGCCCGCCTCTGGAGACGTCTTAACTTATTAATTGTCGTTACCTGGATTGTCTTGGTCCACCATACTACTGCTGCATAGCTGATGATGGGCCTAATTATGGTCGTGTATAGCCACTTAACAATGAGCGGTGATAGTCCCCAAGTTTTGCTAATCATTTTGCGACATTGCCAGAAAATGATGTTGGTCTTCGTTGTAGTTTTGTCTATGTGGGATCCCCAGTTCAGTTTGGAGTCTAGGGTTATTCCTAGATACTTTACCTCGTTGGAGAGCTTCAGTGTCGTGTTAAATAGTTTCGGTAGCCGATAGTCGCCTAATGATCTTTTATTCGTGAACATGACCAATTCCGTCTTCACTGGGTTCACCTTAAGGCCGTAGTCGTCACACCATTTTTCAACAACCTTCATTGCCCCTCGCATAACATCACAGGCGGTGCTCGCAAACTTACCTGGAATTATGATTGCAAGGTCGTCCGCGTAGCCCACCGTGTGGAAGTGAAGGTTGTTTAGTTTGGTAATTAAGTCGTTTACAACTACATTCCATAGCAGAGGCGACAGTACTCCTCCTTGAGGGCATCCTTTAGTTGCCAATGCTCTGAGATGGTTGTCGTCTTGTAGTCTGATTAGTCTGTTACGGAGCATGTTACTTACCCAGTATATAATGGTCTCATCGACTCCGTGTTTGCCAAGTGCGTCTACTATGCTGGCGAAGCTTGTTTTGTCAAACGCGCCTTCTATGTCTATAAAGGTGCCCAGACATAGCTCTTTCCGTCTGAGACTATCCTCTATTTTACTTACGACTGCATGTAGTGCAGATTCTGTCGACTTGCCTGGACTATAGGCGTGTTGGTTCGGATGTAGTGGAACATTGACTAGTTGGTTGTCTCTCAGCTCTCTGTCGCACAGTCTTTCCAGGGTCTTTAGCAGAAATGATGAGAGACTTATTGGTCTGAAAGATTTCGCCTCGTTGTAGTCTGCCTTACCCGGTTTTGGTATGAAGATTACCTTGACCTCCCTCCAGAGCTTCGGGGTGTATCTAAATGCAAGACACGCCCTCAGGAGGGGCACCAGGATAAGGATTAGTGCTTCACCTGCCCATTGAAGCAGCGCCGGAAAGATGCCATCTGGTCCGGCTGCCTTGAATGGCTGGAAGCTGTTAATGGCCCACCTTAACTTATCTGTAGACACTGTCTTCAATGCAGTGTTCCAGGATTGTTCCGTGGGGGTCCAGCTAGTGTCATTCCAAGTATGTGTCGTGTGTATGATGCAGCCCGGAAAGTGGGTTTCAAGTAGTACCCTCTGTGCCTCCTCAGTTGTTTCTGTGAGGGAGCCATCAGCCTTCCGGAGCTGTGCTAGGT